GAGGTCTCCTCCACGTAAGTGTGAGGGGTCGGGATGTCCCCCTCAGGGACTAGCAGCATGGAGCAGAGATGAGGCGCGACCTCGGACAGGAAAGCAAGCTCGTACTGCCGATCCTCCAAGACGTCACTGCCAAGGGCAGCAACACCCCCGACGGACGGAGGACAGGCAGGGTCAGAGACCAGGGCGGTGGCGTAGTCAAGGCGGCGGGTAGAGGCGAAGTCAACGACGGCAGCGACAAGCGCATCAAGACTCGAGACAGGAACGAACGGGTCGGTATCAAGGGAGGCAAGGACCCGAGAAACAAGAGGACTAGAGGCACAAAGGAAGTCAGACAGAGGAGGCGGAATGACAACAAGCGACGATGGAGGAAGAGACGGGAGGAGGGGAGGACGAGACGCGTGGGAACAAAGTAACATAGGGTGAGAGCGCTGAACAGGAGAGATAGAACGAGCACCTGAGGGACGGCGAGACCAGATGTGAGACGGAGGTGTCGGGTCAAGAGACACGGGAGGGGAACCGAGGGGAAAACAAGCCAGAGACGAGTCCGGCGGAGGAAACATAGGGCCCAAGACAGGCGGGGGAGGTGGCTACGGGGGAGGCACAGGCGGGCAGTCACGAGAGGGAAGACCGAGGAGGCAAAGGATCACCGGCTGAGTCTTCTGCTGTTGCGCCACGCTGACACCATAACCTCCAACTGCACCATGACTACCTCCAGATCGCTCCACCCCAGCACCCCTAGAGAAAAAACCCTCTCCAGCACCGGTGCCACCTCCAGGACTGCCGGGACAAGCCACAACAGTAACCCCACGACTAGCACCCCAAGAATCAGCACCCCCAGAACGAGAACCCTCTCCAGCACTGGTGCCACCCCTGAGACCGCTGGGACAAGCCATGACAGTAACCCCAGGACTAGCACCCTCCTCAACGCCAGCTCCCTGAGAATGTTCGGACCCTTGCATTGGCTGCGGCTGCAGTGGCAACTGCTGCTACTGCTGAGGCGGCGGAGGAGGAGACACCGGGGCGGAGACAAGAAGTGAAACCGAACCGAGGGGCCCCCGGAGTTAGCCGACTCCTACACCGGGACCACGGACGGGAGGGGAGTGATGTGAGACACACCAGACAGGGCAGGACGGGGAGGGAGAGGAGCAGGGGCTACCGGGGGATTGGGAACCAGAAACAGGGGCAAGGAAATAGGGAGACCTTGGTGGGGAAAGCGGTGGTAGAAGGAGATAGACTCGTAAAAAATTACGTCACGTGAGTAAAAGAAGCGGTGAGAAGGCGGGTGGTAAAAGTGCCAGTCAGATGCGTCAAGGGGGAAACCAAGGAAGACACAGGGGACAGTGCGGGCAGTGAGCTTGTCCGTGCCAGAGGCACGAACGTGAGCAAAGCAGCCCCAGACATGGAACGCAGACGCGTCACCAGGGAACCCTGTCCAAAGAAGGGTCGGCAAAACCTGCGGCCGCTGGGAGTGTGGCCACAGGTTAAGCTGGTGCGCGGCATAGCAAACAACGAACGGCCAAAGGAGATGGGGTGCACCGGCATGGATCATGGAGGTACGAGCCACCTCCATGAACAAACTGATGCGTCGCTCTGCAACCCCATTCTGCTGTGGAGAGTCTGGTAGGGTGTACGACTGGGTGATGCCCTCCGCACGACAGAACTGGCCAAGCCGACCGAAGGCAAACTCGCCGCCACTGTCGGAGTGGAGACGAAGCACTGGGAGGCCGCGGTGGACTCTCGCAGCTAGGATCCACGAGATAAGAACGTCTGGCACGTCGGCCTTCTGCTCCAGGGGAAAAACCGTGGCGTAGCGCTTGTAGTCATCGACAAGCACTAGAAAGTAGCGTTCGCGACGCGGCCCAGGGATGTGGGCTGGACCCTGGAGTGCAGGGTCTGGAGTGGCGCAGTGGTAAGGGGAAACGAGGAGAAGTGAGGAGCATGGCGCAGCCGGCCTTCAACGCAAGACGTACACGGCGGCGCAGGAAAGTGAGGGAGGGCAGGGAGTGACGCAGGGAGACTGAAGACCAGACCAAGATGGGACATGTGACGCAGATGCGGGAGTGTGAGGTGGTGCCACAGGAGCGACGGGTGAGTGAGCGACTGACACGAGGAAGCCGCGGCGATCTGGGTCGCCATAAGCACCTGGGGGGACGCCCTCCCCGGGGGGGACGCAGTGTCAAGCGTAAACAGGTCAGACACAGGGTCCCGGGGGAACGTGGTCAGAGGGGCACTAATGGCGGCCTCGGTACAAACCGCGTACCGCTCGTGTCTGGGAAACGTTATGGTAACGCCGAGGTCCTGAAGACAGCCGTCACCAACTTGGTTCCTAGAGAACGAGGGGATGTGCAGGCCTGTAAGAGAGCCTGAGGGGAGGGTAGTGGAGCTACAGGCTACTACCCGACGTGAGGAGGGGTGAGCAAGCGCTACAGCGGCAGGGGCAACAAGTGGCCTGAGCGCAGTGTTGTCGCAAAAGAAATAGGCGGACGCTCCAGAGTCGAGCGTAAAGGAGAGAGACGCAGTAGCGTCAGCCAGTGGAGGGGCGAGCATAGAGCCTAAGCTAATCAAGGAAGCGGGTCCTACGCGTGACGCAGCAGGGAAGCCTAGACTACAAATAGGGGACACACCTACGTTAGGCAACTAGAGTCATCAGCATACATGACAGACATAGCAGACCTAATCTGATCCATGTCCAACTCAAAGACAGGCACACGGTGGCGAGCCAGGGCATACCAGTCCGGAGGATCCGCCGTGGGACTGAAGCGGTGGCGGAAAAGGTCGTCCGGGCGGCGATAGCAACGGGCGGCGGTGTGATTGGACGGTCGCAAACGGTGCCGCGGCAGGGGCCGGTCTGAAATTGGTACTTGCAGGTGACCGAACAGGAGCCGCCATCCGACACCGAGCTGCGCCCGCCACCACCACAACCACCGCCACTAGCGCCGCCAGTCCACCACGGCGACTGCTGCTGCGGCTGCGGCTTTTGCTGCTGGATCTGTTGCTGCTGCTGCTGCGGCTGCTGCTGCTCCGGGGCACCAGCCCCGGTCCCCTCCTCAGAACCACCTTCCCCGCCTCCACCTCCTCCACCCTCACCACCCCCACCACCCCTCCCTCTGCCAGGCCGCAGCGGCGGTCTCAGCAACAGCGGCAGAGACGTCAGAGTAAGTGCACTGGGAGGGAGCACAACCCTGAAAGATAGGGACAGGCGTAGTACCGCTAGAGTGAGCGATAGTGCACTGGCGGGTCTCTATGGCGAACAGGGCGATGACAAAGGCGGTGAGGGTGAGGTCACCGGGGTACTAACTAAGGAAGTGGTCGGCGGGCAGTGGCTAGGCCGTCAGGAAGGCGGGTGGCAATGAGGTAAAGGGTAGCGCAAAGCGGCGGCGGAAAGGCAGTGAGCCGAGCCTCAGTGTTAGCAACGCGGTAGCTAGCCTCTAGTGCGCAGAGGTGAGTGGCAAGATCGGCGACAATGAGGAAGGACGCAAGATCAGGGAACATCATGGGGAGGATTAGCCGGCCAGCAGAGGCGGAGGCTAGGGTGGAATAGCGCGCGATGATGGCATCTAATAATTCTTTGGCGTTCGCTATAGTGGTAAAGCGGGGACGCTCAGACAGGGGAAGTGCGTGACTGATAGCAACCTGCGCAACTGCGTGGCGCAACTCCCAGACAGCGCGAGCAAGTGTTGCAGTGGAAAAGGCCTCACGCTCAGCAGTGGTGGGGGTGTCAGGGAGGGCAACAAGCGCAGCAAGGCGGGGAAGAAGGCCATCAACATGAGCAGCCAGGGAGTGACCGTCTTGGCACTGACCTGTAAGGTGCCGGCATAGGTCGATGAGCAACACCTCGAAGTCAATCGCCCGGCCCTCTGCGTCCAAGCGGAGCAGTGAGTCCGCCATCACCCCGGCTGCAGCAGCTGACTGCCGCTGACAGGGAGAGGAGGAAAGGCGAATGAAGGCAGCTGAGAGCGGTGGAGAGTGGTGGACTGTGGCGGAGAGCGGTGGAGAGCGATGGAGAGCGGTTTAGTGCGGTGGAGAGTGATGGAGAGCGGTGGAGTGCAGTGGAATGCGGTGGAGAGTGGTAGAGTACAGTGGAGTGCGGTGGAGTGCGGAGGAGAGTAGTGGAGAGCAGTGGAGACTGCCGGTAGATGTGCCGGCTCAGAAGGGAGCCAAGGCCGGTAGGTCGGGGCGGCAGAGCGTCACGGCGCCGCAGCTACACTGCGGCATAGCTATAGGCTGGTCGGCGGTACTGTGGCGTGGCGGTTGGACGGCGTGGGGCCTGTGCAGGCCCCGGCCGGCGGAGCAGGGGCCGGTAGCGCTGGGGGCCGGCGAGTGAGGGGCCGGCTAGCTGGGGTCCTGCGGGGCGCACAGGGCTAGCGGGGCGCTAACGGGGCCAGCGGGGCAAACGGGCCAGCGGGAGCACGGGGCTAGTGGGGCGCGACGGGGCTAGCGGGGCACGAACGGGACCAGCGGGGCGCACGGGGCCGGTGGCACGTACAGGGCCAGCGGGGCGAACGGGGCCAGCGGGGCGGACGGAGCCGGCGGGGCTCACGGGGCTAGCGGAGCTCGACGAGGCCAGCAGGGCGCTAACGGGGCCAGCGGGGCGAACCGGGCCAGTGGGGCGTACGGGGCCGGCGGTGCTCACGGGGCTAGCGGGGCTCGACGGGGCCAGCGGTGCGCGAACAGGGCCAGCGGGGCGTACGAGACCGGCGCGGCGCTCGGGGCTAGCGGGGCTCGACGGGGCTAGCGGGCGCGAACGGGGCTAGCAGGGCGTTAAGGGGCCAGCGGGGCGTACGGGGCCAGCGGGGCGCTAAGGGGCCAGCTTGGCGCTAACGGGGCCAGCGGGGCGCTAACGGGGCGGCTAGGACTAGGCCTAAGGCGGAAGTGCAGGTGAGCAGAGGGGGACCTAACCTAGCGTGATACCATATCAAAGTGAGAAAGAATAATAAGAATGAGATACAAGGTGCTTTTGAGCTAGGGGTTGTACTGTCTAAGAGTACACACCTTTTAGCCTATAAGACATATATATATATATATATATACCGGTATATATGTTTTGACAGAAGCAACTCCTAATAAACACAATCACCAGTTCGGGCACTATTGTAATTCGGTAAGCATACCTTTGTTCCGGGGGTCATCTTATCTACGCATTCATATCCGTTGATCTTCCGATAGCAACCCTTGATGCCATGGAAGTGCGTGATCTGGACATTACTGCAGCTGTCCGTGGGCATGAAGTAGTACTGGTTGTCCGTTGGACAGCTCCCAATGGCAAATGATGTGGAGCTCTTGGTGCAGATCTGCTACAAAAAAAAATCAAAAAATAAAAATAAAAAAATCGATTATACAACTTCACGTGCAACGACCACACGCCAGCAGTACTGGACAAGCATGTTACATTTTCCCAGGCAACATACCTCTCGTTCAAGGGACCCTTTGAAGTGGAACGATTTCGCCGGAATGAGCTGGTTGCAGTTGATGCCGGGGTTGAGGCGGTACAGCTCCAAGGCGCTCAGAGGGGGAACAGCGGCGTCCCTGATGCTGTCACACGTGTCTGCTGCTTGCGGTCGATGATACTCGTCACACACGGCTATGCGGTTGGCCTTGGAGGGGTGTCTCTCCACGCACACTGCCTGGGAGGGCTTCAGGGACGAGCAGTCCACAGCGGGGTTGAGCGCCTGAAATGCCGCCTCACACGCCGCATCCGAGGCCGCCTGCCCACACAGCTCCACCTGCCGCCCCACCCCTGCACACGTGTCACCCTGGGGGTGAATGGAAGAGGGAGAGGTTTGGGTAATGGAGGAGGAGGGGGTAAGGGAAGGCGCATCTCCATGACTGCATCAATGCTCTAAGTTGCACCCCGTATGAGCATCGGTGTCTGCGAACGACAGACCGTAGCAAGAGAGAATGTTACCTCTTTACGGCATGGAAAGGCACCAAGTAAGCAGCACAGATGTAGTTGGGATTTTGTAGGTTGCAGGAGGGAAATGGGCATATTCCATGACGGCATTGGTGCACGTACTGCATTGGTGCTGTAGAATACACTGCATTCAGGGATGTTGAACACCACATAGAGCTGCTTGTTGATGGGCAGAGGCTTGGTGCATGAAACACCCTGCAAAGGCGACAGCGTGCAAATGAGATAAGAGAAAGATTGAGAGCAAAAGTGCTGGAGAGGTGAGAAGCTGAAGTGGCTTCTCGTGTGAGTGCGAGTGGTGGGCGGCGCTGACCTTGTTTTGCTGCAGGAAGTGGGCGAGCGGCAGGCTGAAGACAGCCATGATGTGCGAGCAAAAGACGTTGGCACCCAGCACCGTGTACGTGCCCTGCTCCTGGCCTGCCATGCCACGCACACACGTGGTCCATTCATGCAAACGGGGGGCATTGAGGACATTAAATGAAAGCCGAAGATACGGTAGTGCAATGAGGAAAAATGCGTGGCTCAGAGACCTTAACATGCCCAGCAGTGGAGGGTCTGGTGTGCTGGTGGAGATGGGTAGCAGCTCGCATCACAGAAGAATGGAATCAGCAAGACCAACCATACCAGGAGTGCAGGAGAAGCCTCCACCAATCATGGTGCCTTGTATGAAGCCCCTGGGACACACACAGGAGTAGCTTCCCCTGCCATCGTTCACACACGTGCCCACCACACACGGGTTGCGACTGCTGGACCCACACACGTCCACTGGGGATGGGGGGGGGGGGGGGGGGGGGGGGCGGGCGAGAATGGGGATTGGGGTGGGGTGGGGTTGGCATAGGGTTGGCATGGGCAAAACGTGGGGAAGTGGCTGGCATCCGCACATGCCACAGACACGGACATGCAAGGATGAGAGGCGAGAAGCATGATTGACCTCGCTGCGAATGCACACCCCCAGCAGTGCCTGCCAGCGAGAAATAAGCAGGACACTCTGGTAAGGTGCATCCTGAGCAAGGAGACAGATGGGGTGAAGGTGGAGCTATTTACCAATGGAGCATACAACAGACAGCACATCAGCTACGAACACATAGATGCATTACCGCGATCTCACAGGCAAACAATAGCACATAAGCACATGTGCACAATAAAGGAAGCCCAGGTGTATATTACCATAACCACAAGTGTATGACCCATCAGTGTTCTTGACTTCAGAAAAGCGGGTATCAGAGCACTTGCAGCGGTTGCTGGCCCCTTTGGTGGTGCACTGGAACTGGCCACACGGGTTGAAGGTAGGGCCCAGTATGTCGTGCTTGTAGGAACGCTGGCCACAGGGGTCAGCAGGTGCTGCAGAGGGATTCGCACAGAGACAGGGGCGGGACGGCAAGTGAACACAAGCAGATGCACAGGAAAACACGTGCAGCAGAATAATGATTTGGAGCCCGGAGTTTAAAAATCCAAAGCGTAAGGGAATTAGTTCAGTAGCAACACACAAGCCGAATATGATGCCTCACTTCTGACAACGGGGAAGAGCCCCGGGAGAGTGTTGATGCCGCAGATGCCATCGTCACTGCGTATGTCCATTCGCATGTGGCCCTGGTCGCCCCACTGTGTGCCCCATGAGTTGCGGATGATCCAGAAGGGCGGCGGCAGGTCGGGCTTAGCAGAGTCAACACCAGCCACCAGATAGCCCATCACCAGCACCACGTGGTTGAGATGGTCCGTGAAACATCCCTCGTCAGCATATGTGTCGCTCTGAAAGGAACAGTGGAGAATAGCCACGACCAATGCATAAGAAACGAACGAAGAGTGCAAAAAGCTGCAGAAACCTGACAGCCATGAAAGCCTCTAATTTGCAAGACTAGTGTTCTGGGTATACTGTAGGATGACCAACTAACCCTGGGTTGTGTGGCCCAATCTAGCCACGCTCATGCTGCACTCCTTTGGCCCCTCGCTCTTCCCCCGTTGTTCACTAACCAGAGGGTTGTTTCTGTTTCAACCCGTAAACCACCGCATCTAAGACAACGTGGTCGCGTATATCCTGCTAGGTGGTGCATTCGGTTCGGTGTATGCAATGGTTGAGTGGGTTTATCAAACACTGCAATTTTCATTGGGGTCAAAGGGTTGACTATTGACCATCATGATTGGGGCCCTTGTAACGTTGGTCAATGCAACCAACACATTAAGCTCCTGACAATGTCGTTAATGCTCAAACTTAGTGAAAATGTATAAATCACACTGATCGTGCTCAACAATGTAGAAGCCTGTTCTTTTCAGCTAATCAACACCTAGCACTTCCTAACTCCTAGACTTCAACTCCTAACCTCTCCTGACATGACTATGACAATGTTGAATGGTGGTAATGGGGGGTGATACTGGTCAAGGATTCTCGAATCTACACATGCACAAGGGGAAAGCTCGAGCCCGAACGAGGCCCGTCGAAAATGGGTGATATGGGGGACCCTCCACTCGAGCCGGCCGGCCCGCGGGCCCTTCAGACCCGAGCGGATCCGCCATATCCATGCCGATTGGCGATAAGCCATAACAGGGATCAACGACGAGCCGGGAGCAGTCTCAATCCTGGCGAGTGGCTCGCAACTCGACGACCTGGCCCGGGCCGAGCCGACCTTGCAAAAGCGCCGGCTCGGCTCGGTGTTAGGTCAAGCCGAGCTGGGTAAGCCAAGCCGCGGATCGGCCCTTTGCCCATGCCTACTTGTATCTAAGTGGAATACATTTCATTTGCATCCCATCCTTGGCTGCTATGGCGCGATGCAAAAATATCTAACTCATCATCAAGGTACTTAGGCATGAGCATAGGCCCAGTCCAGCCCAGTCCAGCCGTTTCTGGTCGGTCCGGCTGGGCTGGGCCGGTCCAATGTCGGGCTGACCTTGGGAATTCCCTGGCACATGCCCAAGTTAAAGGGTCAGGCTGACTTCGGCCCGGTGGCGGGCGGGGGCGGGCCGGGCTACCTAAGTCGGGCAGAATTTCAAGAATGGGTGGCGTGTGCCTGGCCATTTCCAGGCTTGACCCAGGCCGCCCCGGCCCATTGGGCCTTGCGCTCATGCCTAATCGTACTGACCCCATCATTATTCAAACGAGGGTGCCTTACCCCATCGTAGTCTTGGAAGGAGGGTGCGGAGGCCTCGATGTGCACAATGACTGGCTGGCGCTGCACTGCCAGCATGAGCCCAAACCACCCGTAGAAGGTCGTGCGCTCGATGCCCCGGATGCCATAGTACTTGATGGTGGGCTGCACGCAGGCCACACACATATGAGCAGATTCCAAAGGCTGCAAAGGATGATGGAGAGCACACACTGTGCCACATGCAAGCTTGTCACACGATTAAAAGGAGGCTCGATTTCGCAAGCCACCAACATCTTGCAGTAGATGGTGTCCGGAGTGCACCAGCCGTTACCTTGGCAGCTGCTTTACGTCCTAGAGACCGTATGCCTTTCACAGAGGAGGCAATGTAAGCTGCCTGCTCCAGCAGCCCCCTGCCCTGGTTGGTGGTGTTGAGGAGGAACTGCAGCGCCTTGGTGGGGGAGCCACCGTCGCAGTTGGAGGAGAGGGCGAGGCGCAGATGGTCCACCGACAGCACAGGGGGCTGCGACCGGTTGTTGGCAATGCTGTAGGCTGCCTCCACCGCTGCCACCACTGCATACGCCCACGAGTCCGCTGCCAGCACAAACAGGACGGCAATGTATATTTTGAGTCTTGTGCTGACAACGAGCACAGAACCAGCTCCCAATGTTACGCTACGCATTTCTTTGTGTCACTTGGACTTTTTGTGGGTCAACTGTGGCCTGTAAATCTGTGTTCCCAAACCCTGGCAAATCTAGGATGGGATTGTGCAGAATCTAACCTGAGTTGCCACGCCCTTTAAAAATACATTGGTATTCCCACAACCCTCGAATTGGCCACAGTATCTACTGAATCATATTTGAATCTTTGCCTTCATGCTGTTCAACACTTCCTCACCTATACTTCACCTTTACTGCATGCCACTCACCGCAGCCCCCTTGGTTCTTCACGGGCCAGACGGCTTGAGGCAAGATCCAGGAGGAGAAGGACTTGACAAGCCATGAGGGGCTGTTGTCCGCCGATGGCTCGAATCCCCCGCTGGCGTAGTGGAAGAAGGAATTGAAGCCCAGAGATGAGAAGGAGTCCTCGTCCAACACAAACCCCAGCGCCAGGTCTGGTGGTGCAGGGGGGTTATGGAAAACAAGTGGTGCTTGATGTTGTTAGGTGATACAAGGATCACTCCATTATGATACGGTTGTTTAAATCCAGGCCACAGCAAAAGGTTCATTTGGAGGACATTCAGACAATGTTATCGAAATGTACCCAAAAGAAATTGCTGACATGCTTACTCACGTCATCCCACTCAATCACAAAAGGATCTAACAGAGATCCGATACTTCTTACCTTGTGCATTGAGAGGAGGCCGTGGAGGTAAACCTGCAATTTGTGGTGGGGAAGGGGAGATGGATGTGGTATAATGAGGAGATACCATTGTCCCTAGCACACATGGCGCACCATTGTCCCTAGAGTACAAGCCGGAGGACGGCACTCTGGTCGTCCCGGCTCAGCCCTTGTTTCTACCGAACATTGACTAGATAAACATTGCTCCCAAAATCCAACAGCAATGTCCGTACCTGGTGTACAAGCCCATGGCTGGCATTCTTGTCGGCCCGGCTCAACTAGAGCCGGCTCTCTGGCACGCCTTGCTCATAGCCTACCGAACATTGTCCAGTTGAATAGCTCTCAAACACCAACGTCACCATGCATCTCATCAGTTCCTGGTGTACAAAAGCCCACAGCCGAGTGATTCATTCACATCCACCTTGTTTACACGCCACCGTTCTCACCTGTAACAACCTCCCAGTTTAGGATGACATTCTCTTGGGCATTCTCTGCTGTTGATGCGATGAAGCCGAAGAAGAAGTTGGTCTCTGCAGCAGTGGGCTGCAGGATGGAGCAGAGGGACACTCGGGCGCGGAGGGTGGGGGTGAGGGGCTGCACGGGGTCGGAGGAGAGGAAGACTCGGAGCGTGCCGCCGCTGGTGGGGTCGTAGTGGATCCAGGCGTGCTTGGTTTGGGCGTCGTTGAGGATGAGAGGGGCCGTGGCAGAGGCGAGGGACACAGGTGAGCCGCCCACATTGACGCCCACGTGGTTGTCGTTGGGGTCGCTGTGCTTCACACTCAGCACCGAGTCAAACTCCACCCCCACACTTCTTTTCCTCACCCCTCCCAGCCCCACACCTGCTGCGGCCCCCTGCGGTGGCGAAGCACTCACCACGAACGCCAGCCCTTCCCCTCCCGCGCCTTGCGCTGCTGGCCTCATGGCGAAGGTGAAGGAGGCGTTGAAGGCAAAGGGGGTGCCGCACGGGCCGGGGCTGTCGATGAAGTGGAAGAGGCGGATGGGCGTCTGCACCACGGCTGCCCCCCATGTGCTGCTGGCGGATGGGGTGAGGATGATGCTGCCGTTGAACAGCTGAGTCGCTGCAGCAGACAGGGAGACCGCCGTTGACTGGGACGACTCGGTTGAAGGGAGGACTGCAGGAGCAACGCAAGAGGCAGGGGCGCCATGGGTACACTGAGTGGCCACCTTTGGGAGGATGTGAACATGGAAAGTAACACTCGAAAGAAGTTTTAAAATAACAGATGCTGGGCAACTGAAGAGGTTCCATTCTGAGGAGCGAGCACGGCATGCGAAACAATCCGTCACTCAATTGGAGTGCATACCACTGTAGGTGCAGGAGTGGGGTCCAGCCTGGTTGTCAAAGTTACTATCGCAGGTGCATGCTGATTCCTGCACGGAGGAATTGAAGGAGCACACGCCATGCCCATTGCACAGCGGCCTGGCGTCTCCAGCAGCAAGGCCACAAAAAGCGGCGCACTCCTGCAGGTTTTTCTGGCCCTCAAAATCTCCTGGCACCAGGGAGGCAGCGGTCAGGCAGTTCTCAAACACGTTGGCATAGAAGGTGCGGTTGGCCTTGGGCGGCACGACAGCACCGTGGGAGAAGAAGCAGCGGTGCGCGTAGTAGAACTGCAGGGAGGGCGACGGGGGCGCGGGCAGGCGACCCATGAACTGGTTGCTGGACACGTCACTGGGGTCGCAGGTGGAGATGGGAGAAGGTGGGAGGTGAGGAAAGGGATGTGAAAGGGGGTGTGAAGAGGGCGATGAGAAAAATAGGTGCGAAATTTTGATGGAAAAATGCATGCCTTTTGGTCCAGCCGTCAGACGAGGCACATTGTGATTTGTACCAATGCGTGGAACATACAGGTCAGGGGCCACGCTAATGGCGCTGGGCGATTAGGTAAGGGATGGGCCGATACAGAAAGGTGGGGACATGGTGTTTTCTGGCCGGATGCGCTTGACACTAAGTGCAGCCCTTGACAACCCAGTGGTACCCTCCACAAGCTCTCTCTCAAGCCTTCCCCGGCACCACATGGCATTTCTGACTCCCCCCATGCACGTACAGTGTGACAAGCCTCGTCATGCTGCTGGTGATGCTGTAAATGTCGCCAGAAAATTCGTTCCTGTTCAAGTAGCTGGCGAATGGAACCCCGGGATGGGGGAGCAGGGTGCACGGCAGGAGATGATTTAGACACCCGTCGAGCCAAATGTGCCTCTTACGGCTGGCAGCTGCAGCGGCATGGACTGCTGCAGAGCAGATCCCTGTACTTGCTTTGGAACATGATCCCGCCCGCCTTCAAGTCAACCTTGGGGTGCACAAGTTGCTGAGTGTGCTTGAGCCACATACGAGTGCAAGGCACAGGAATTCCCGAAAGGAAGACATGCGGAGGTAGCCATTATGTCACAAGCAGCCAGCCCGCACTCACAAGTAGCCCAGGTTCTGGAGGTTGGAGAATGATCTGGGAACAGTGCCCGTGAGCCACATGCCCTCCAGGTACCTGCGCACACAGCATGGCAGCCATGGCGCTTCAGCAACTAGGTTGATGGGACCAATCAGGGATGTGATGTTCATGCATATGGGGCAGCTTGAGTAGAAGAGCTCGAAAGCACATCCATTTGTCATCTAAACCAATGACTTTCATGTGCTCATTGTACTTCGTTTCTCGTGACTCACAGACTCAAAATCCAAAACCAGCAAGGGAACTGTACGTGGGCACACAAGCAGACAGCATGGGACTGGAATGCGAGGCAAGAATCAAAGTACTGCACAGGGAAAAGGGCAAATGGTGAAGGCAGAGAAAAGAGAGGGGGGGGGTATCGGTGGTGCACAGGATGTTCAGCTGAGTGAGGGTTCCAATTGAGGAGGGCAGCGTCCCAGCAATGTCTGTCCATGCCAACTGCCTGCAGTGGGAGAACAAATGGGCGGGGAGCAGAAGAGCGGGCACATTCAATGGGTTTTTTATTTATTCGCGTGTGGAACGAACCCGGAGAATTATGTGTAAGTATGCTACACTTCTCTCTTGCTCTGGGGTGCTCGAACTTAAAGCCGCGCTACACATTCCCAGCATTTTGTTCATATTATAAACATTTGGGAGTGGATTACACCGTAACTTCGCCGATGGGATTTGTCCTCGTCCCCTGATGTAAGCAGTCGAACGCGCAAAATGTGGCATTTGTGTACTATAAACCCCACATTCTCACGAGGCAACCACGTACCCCCGCCCCGCAGTTCCGTATCCCCCTGGTCCCGCTTTTGTTTTCCCCCCGCCTGTCACACGTTCCTCACACCCCGCAATTTCGTTCTCCCCCGCCTCGCAACATTGTTTCCCCCCGCCCCGCAAATTCGTTTCCCCCCACCCCGCCATTTCGAATTTTTATAACCTCGTTCACACGTCGTCATTTCCCGACCGCCACTTGCCTTCCCCCCCCCCTCCCAGCCCTCGCCCCGCAAATTTCGTTTTCCCCCGCATCAGAATCGTATCCCCCCCCCCCCCCCCCAACACCTCCGCCTTTCTGAATGTTGATAACCTCCCAGCGCCAGACATTTTGTCCCATTTCCTGTTCCGGTGTCTCACAAAATCGACGAGGCTATGAACCAATGGTAATGTCTCGCAGTTTTCCACCCGTTCGCCAAGCTCGCGACCCAATCAGCGCGACCCCAGCCCAATTTTCACTAGTCATGTTTTCACATTCCCGGGAATGTGTACCACGGCTTTAAAGCGAGGATCTCAAGAAGCGCGAAACCAAATCCAAAAGGTTTGGTTTCGGGTTGGCGAAATCAGCGAAACAGTAACAGCGGCCCCCCAACACCCCAAAAGGTGGCGCCCAATATCACCCACCACAGATCAAGATGAGAGTGGTGGCCTGAATTATCCGATGTGGGTCCTTACCCGATTCCAACCACTGTTCGCTACACACGCAAATCTCTGCACACGACTCGAGCAGGTCTGCGGCACGAGCTCTCACAGGTCATTTAGCTGCTTCAGCGCTCCCAGAGAGGCAGGAATTGTGCCGTTGAGGAGGTTGGTCTCAAGAATGCTGATAGCAGTTGGGCAAAACGTGGACGCGAGAGCACATGCAGGGACAATTGGGTCGAATGGATGAGATGAGATGAGAGGACGAGAGAGACAGCGGGGCGGGGAGGTGGGGGCGGGGGGGGATGGGGTGGGGAGGAGTGGAAGATGCGAGAGGTCCTTCACACCTTGCCATTTGCCAGCTGAATCATTGCGAGCACCATACCTGCTCTGCTCCTATTGCTCAATGGGGCACATCATATTCTTTAAGAGCATGTCATTGGGTTCTCTTCTCCCTGAGCCCCTTGCCCAACGGCTCTGCCACTGTTGGCACCAGGTACCTGGCTGCTGCATCATGGATGAGTGTGTATGTGTGCATGGCTCACAGCGACTGCAAGTTCACAAGGTTGCCGATCTCGTCCGGAATCGAGCCCTCAATGAAGTTCATTCCCAGGTTGCTGCAGGCATGGAGGTTGGGGGAAAATCAAATATATTCGGGTCGGGCCACAAGCAAGTAGCAGCTGCTGCTCAAATGGGAGTCACAAGGGTGGAATGAGTGGCACCACCGACTGTACAGGACACAGACACACAGAGAGGGCAAGGGGCAGGAACCCACTCCGTCCCGAGCCGAGATATGGTAGTAGGGAGTTGGCGCTCTCCATGTTTCCAATACTTCCCAGGATGCGATGGTTCCGGGCCGCACGGCAGTGCAAAGTCAAACCAAGCCAGTGCGAAGGGTGGTAACGCCCCAGTGTCCACCAACCTACCTCGTGCGCCAGCCAGCCTCAGTATACAGGGACGTACAGTTTGGTGAGCTGTGTCATGCTGCTGAGAGAGGCTGGTATGGTGCCATTCAAAAGGTTCTGCTGCATGTTGCTGCGAGGGAGGGGATCAGGTGAGGAACAAGGGAAGATTGGAGTGCGTCCAAACTTCGGCAGGAGGGGTGGCATGCTCTGAGCGGAGCAGCACCTTTCGGGCACATGCACCACCGGGAGGCACGGCAGCAGACCAAATGACAATTGGCTACAACAATCGGCAGCACCAGCTATGTGCCTCACAAGCACGGTGCACCAATGTCCTTGCTTGTGCTAGGTATGGGGTATTCACCCGTCTGCCCACCCCCATTGCAGTGGGTGGCACACAATGGCAGTACCTGTCACTGGTTGACAAATGACTGCAGCAGAAAACATCACAAACATGCTCATGCCTGAATACATGCTCATGCCTGCATACATGCTCATAAGTCTTGGCATTGTGGAGACCCAGTCAGGTACAGGCCCGGAAAAGTAGTTAACCTGCAGCTCACTGGTTGACAAACGGAACACGGGGGACAGACATAGCAAGGATAGCTTGGTCAATGTGGCATCACAGCGGCAAAGACTAACAGTCACATGTGTCCAGTCATACCATTCGACTCACAAGGTCTACGTACTGGTAAGTTATGATACTAAACCCTAAGGGTCCAGGTAGAAGAATTGGAGGAGGAAGTGGCTCACGCCAGAATTGGACAGAATGAGAAAAGCATACAAGGAATACAAGTTCGGGTGAAAACCCAACCAAACCAAGGGTCGACCAAGACCATGCTCAGTTTGGTGTGAAGTACCGAGATGAACTGAAACATAATCTATACATTGGTGGTGGTTTAGATGTTGCTACAAGGCTATGATAGATAGATAGCAGAGAAACGGGATGGAGGGATGTAAAGACGTACACCAGAAGAAGGGTCGTGGATGGATGGTGGAGCAGCCTTGCATGAGGACCGTTGGCATGGCAAAAAAAAAAAATTGAGACGATGAAGAGAGGAGAGGAGGAGAGGAGGCGAGGAGGAGAGGAGGAGAGGAGGAGAGGAAGAGAGGAGAGGAGGAGAGGAGGAGAGGAGGAGAGGAGGAGAGGAAGAGAGGAGGAGAGGAGGAGAGGAGGAGAGGAGGAGAGGAGAGGAGGAGAGGAGGAGAGGAGGAGAGGAGGAGAGGAGGCGAGGAGGAGAGGAGGAGAGGAGGAGAGGAGGAGAGGAGGAGAGGAGGAGAGGAGGAGAGGAGGAGAGGAGGCTCACAGGGTATTGAGGGTAGTGATGGTGCTGATGGCAGTGGGAATGCTGTCAGTGAGCATGTTGGTCGCAAGGCTCCTGAATGCGGGCACAGGCACAGGCAATACGGCACACGCAATGCGACACATGCCACCACTGGGTGCTAAGAACACAGATAGATGGACGTGGGGTATGCATGGTGTTAGGATTAAGGACAGAGTCTAGGTGAACTTAGGAGCTAGAATTACTCAAAATATAAATCCGAAATTCTGGACAGAAAAGTCGTCTTCACAAGAAACGACGTCGACAAAACACTAGCCGTTGGAATGTCGCGAAACTTGGATATGTTGTAGCTCTTGATCTCAGCTACCGTTCCCAATTTGAATCACGTTGATTGATGAAGTATTCGCGACGCTATGGCTTTCGACGCACTAGGGGGTAAGCTGTAGGAGGAGAACTTAACTCAATCTCAAGAGTTCAATCAAAGTTCAAGAATCTCACAAGGAATTAGAAGGAGCAAGAGAAAGGTTGGGATAGGAAGAGAGGGATGAGAGGGAAGGTCCCAAGAGAGTCCCCAACCAAGGAAACCCCATAAGCACAAAGATTCCCTCCCTATAGGAACCCCAACTTTGACATTTGTCCCTTCCCAACCAATCCATCCAAGTTGGCCACCCTTGCCAACCTAGCTTGGTTGTTCCCAACCAATTTGCAGCTGTTACAGTAGAGTGACAAGTTTCCCCAACCCCAAAGGTCCCAACTCCATATAAAGTCACCCCACAACTTCACTTAGTAACCGCCGCAATTGTAACGCAAGCTCATGAACTTTGAATCTTCATAGCTTTCGCGTTCTTGCTCCGATTGAAGCGATTCTTGTTGCGTCGGAAAGATCTTCTCAAGATCTATTATCACAAATACCTGCTCAGACAGAATAACACAAAACACATTCCCAAACTCCAGAACACACCACACACAAATGCTTGCACATTCAAACCACACATGCAAGTTGAAAAAACATGGGATGGGAGGCAGACAGAATGTGATAGCATATGATGACATCACACAACAATCTCCCCCTCTGGCTGCCAACCATCATCGACCATACCACATCTCAAGCATGCATACTCAATGCACACTCATCCCAGCAAGCTTCATGCCCTTCCAATGATCCGCCTCCGCCAGACGCTTAGTGAAAATATCTGCTGCCTGCTGATGGGTCTTCACTATCTCCAGCCGCACCTCCTTATCAAGGAGTCTCCTCACCCAATGCCACTTAGGCCTTATGTGTTTTGTCAGCCCATGCAGACAAGCATTCTTGGCGAGCTTCACAGCAGACTCATTGTCACAGAACACAACTGTCGGCTCCTCCTGACCAACTCCCAACTCCTCCAACAAACGCCTTAGCCACACTACTTCCTTGGCCCCATGGTGTAAGGCCATGTACTCAGTCTCACATGAGGACAATCCCACCTCATTCTGCTTCTTGCTGCGCCAGCTCACAGCACCACCTCCTAGCAAGCACACATAACCCCCAATGCTGGTGCCATCCGCTTTCACTGAGTTGAAGCTAGCGTCAGTATAGCAACTCAAGAGCATCTTTCCACTCTTCACATCTGCAGCACCTCTCTGCAACCGCTGCCTCACTCCACTGTACTCCAATCCCACTGATGCCGTAGCACTCACATAGCGGACCAACCTCTTGGCCGCTTCCAGCTGCTCATGACTAGGGCGTGAGACCACACTAGCCAACCGTGATGTAGAAAATGCAATGTCAGGCCGTGTATGATTTGCAGCATAATTCAGCGACCCAACCATCGAATGAAACAGCTTCCTGTCACTCTCACCCACTACCTCCTCATCAGCACATGGCTCCACAGTAAACCCTGAAGGTAGTGGTGTTGCTGGCTTTCCCCCATCTTGCAGCCCATACTTCTCAGCCAGCCCCTCACAGTACTTCCTCTGGTGCAACCTCAGCACACCCTTCTCCACATCTCTCTCCACATGCATCCCCAAGTAGTACTTCACCTCACCCATCTTGGAGCACTTGAACTGCATCTCCAGCATCTGCTCTGCGCTGTCCAGCAAAGCAGTGGATGCAGAAAAGAGAAGGATATCATCCATATACACCAAGAGCATGAGGATTTCGTCCTTCTCCTGCAGCAGGAACAGGCTGGGGTCACACTCACTCTTCTTGAAACCCCCAGCCACCAGCGCCTCCTCCAACTTGTGATACCATGCACGAGGCGCCTGCTTAAGGCCATAGATTGCCTTCTTCAGCCTGCAGACCCTGCCGCTCCCATCATCCAGCCCCTCTGGCTGCTTCATGTACACCTCCTCCATAATGATCCCATTCAGAAAGGCAGTCACAATATCCATCTGCCGAATCTTCCATCCCAGGAGTGCAGCTATCGCCAACAGCACCCTCAGTGTTGTTCCTTTCCCCACAGGAGCAAACACCTCATCATAGTCCTTCCCCTTTGTCTGCTGAAACCCCCGTGCCACAAGCCTAGACTTGTAGCGGGTCAGCTCCCCTTCAGGTCCATACTTGTGCCTGTAGATCATCTTGGAAGTGATTGCCTTCTTTCCAGGAGGCAAGTCACACAGGTCCCATGTCTCGTTCTCAATTAGGGACCCGAACTCCTCATCCTCACTCGCCTTCCACTTCTCCCCATTTGGTCCATTCAAGGCCTCTTCTCGAGTCTTGGGCTCAGGGATTGGTGCCCAGTAGCAGTGAGCGATCTCATCTTCCTCAATCTGCTCAACCACACTCCCAGCCTGCACCACATTCGGCTTGCCTCTTCCCCCATAGGTCAGCCTCACTGGAGGGCGCACATCCCTCCTAGGACGCTCAGGCGGGTGTGGAACTCGAGGTGGAGACTCATGCTGCTGCTGCTGCTGCTGCTCTACTTCAGCTGCTCCCCCTTCCTCAGTCACCCCAGACATCTCCTCCTCTGACACTGCAACCTCCACCTGTCTTGAAGGCTGCTGCACCTCATCTGCCTCCACAATGAGCGGTGTAGATGGAAGCTTCTGTTGCTGCTGCTTCCATTCCTTGTAGTACAGGGACTCAAGAAACTTCACATCCCTTGACACTGTCAACTTCTGGGTGGTCAAGTCCCATAGCAGCCACCCCTTGTGATCCTTTGCAATCCCCAAGTGCACACCCCATCTTCCAGAAGCCTCCAACTTCCCCCTTTTCTCCTTAGGCACATGAAACACCACCATGCACCCAAATGCCCTCAGCATGTTCACAGCTGGAGCACTCCCATACCACTTGACGTATGGGATCCACTCCTTATCTCCAACTGTAGCCAGCACCCTGTTCTTCACAAGGGCGACCTGCCTCAGTGCAGACACCCAAAACGGATCAGGCAGCCCTGCACGCCCAAGGAGAGTGCGTGCCCCCTCCTGCAGGGTCCTGTTGAACCTCTCAGCCACGCCATTCTGCTGTGGGTTGTAGGGCACTGTCAGTTGATGCTGGATCCCCTTCCTCTTCAACTCCCCCTCAAAATCAGCTCCAATGAACTCCCCACCATTGTCACTACGGATCACCTTCACCTTGTGTCCGCATTCCCTCTGAGCTCTCGGCATCCACTCCTTAAGGACAGCCGCTGCCACCTCCCCCTTGCTCTTCAAAGGGTAAACCCACACTGCCCAAGTGTGGTCATCCACAATTGTCAAGAAATAGCGGCTGCCTGAGAGGGAAGGGGCTCTTGTGGGCCCCACCACATCCATGTGCACAAGTGCAAGTGGGGTCTTGGATGGTCCAGTTGCACTGTTGAAGGGGAACTTGGAGAACTTGGTCTCCAAGCATGTAGGGCAGCTCCCAATCTCCTTCACTTCCCCTTTCACCTCCAAGCCCTTCAGGCTCCCATTCTTCACCAACTTCTGCAGCATAGGGAAGTTCACATGACACAACCTCTCATGCCATGTCTCCCAATCGGCCTCTCCACTCCTTGATGAAGCCTTAGCCCATGCCGCACTCGCATCCACACCAGCAAGCACCTCACCATGTGTCTGCTGCTTCTGCACTTTCTTGACTGCTTCCAGCACCCCATCAGTTGGTGCAGTTGCATCTCCTCCTGCTGTTGCCTTTGCCACTGCTGCCGTTGCTGCTGTTGGAGTCTTCCCATTCCAAGGGATGATGGGCAGCTGCCACAGGTCCTTGATGCAGCTGGTCTCCTCTTCCAGACTCCACAGCACCTTCTTCCCAAGCTTAGCACGGCAGCTGGTTGGTCCAAAGGTCACTTCGGCCTTACTCTTCTGCAGCCGCCGCACAGAGAGAAGGTTAGCAGACAAGCCTTTAACCAGCAGAACATTCCCAAGCCCCACAAGCTCCCCATTAGCTCCCTTAACCTTGGCATTCCCAACACCAATCACGGGGAGCAAAGCACCTGACGCTGCTGCCACATACTTAATCTTCCCAGGGGGTTTTACCTCATCAAGCAAATCTGCCCGTGGGGTCATGTGACTGGTGCAACCCGAATCAATCACCCAGTGCGTGAGAGGGTGCATCACAACCTTTCCCACAAATCCCACATCACCCTCATGCCCATGCACATCCTCAACCATAAGAAACAAACCAGGATAGGCATTACCTTGTGCACCTTCACCTTGTGCACCTGAGCCTTGCACAGCGCCACCTTGTGCGCGTTCACCACTGGGTGGCTTCATGCCTGGAGGTGCCCATCCCTCCGGCCTGCTGAAGCACTTGAACCAAGGATGCCCTATCTTCTTGCAGTACCAGCAGGTGCCCTCCATTCTGGTACTCCCCCTGCCACTAGAGCTCCCATGCCCCTCATTATAGTCACCTCGGCCTCTACCTCTGCCAAAGCTCCTCCCACGGCCTCGGCCTCTCCAACCCCCTCTTCCTCTGCCGCGCCCTGCAGCTCCATACCCCTCAGCAGTCTTAGTGGCAGCACCGCCTCCCACATGGCGTCTGCGGAAGTCCTCCTGCAGAATCTGCTGCCTTAGCCACTCAGGTGTCCATTGATCTTGTTGAGAGTTGAGGGTGGGGATGAGGTTGTCCCAAGAGTTGTCCAACACCGAGATGATCTTGGTGCACTGCTGCAGCTGAGATACACTGCTGCCCGCTGCTGCCATCCTTGCATAGGTGTCCTTGATCTTGTCAAGGACCGGCTTCACATCGTCCCCTGGTCGCATGGAGATGGCAGCAAGTTCCTTCTCGAGCACGATCACCATCAGGAGAGTGTTGGGCTGAATCACATCGCGTAGTAGTTTCCACGCCCTTGGACCCGAATCATCCGCTTCCACAAGATCCTTGATGTGCTCGAACATCTCCTTGTTGACCGATTGAAGGATGAGGTCGAAAAGCACCGCGCTTTTCTCAATCCACCGTTCACGTGCTTCGCCTTCTTCCGGCATCTTCTCTTCCCCAACAGCAATCTTCAGGAGCTTGTAGCGTTTGAAGGCACTCCTCATCCGTCCGCTCCATTCCTCATAGTTGGAGCCATCCAAAGCTTCAACTTTTGATGGCGGCGGCTCACTTGTCTTCTCAGCTACAGCTCCTCTTCCATTAGCATCTCCTCCTCTCTCATTCATCTTCTCCTTGAGAAATGACGAATTTCAGCTCCCCTTTGCTGTCCACACTCAGCTCCCTCGATATTTTCACAAGTGTCGGCGTCCACGAAATTTCGGCAGAGTTTCCCCTTAGCGGAAGACACATCCAACCTTTAGAACACCACTTAGGCACACCCACAGGCCATGGTGGGTCTAGAAGGGTCTTCACACTTCTGTAGACTCCTCTCAATGTCCTTAATATCGCTCTGATACCACTTGTTAGGATTAAGGACAGAGTCTAGGTGAACTTAGGAGCTAGAATTACTCAAAATATAAATCCGAAATTCTGGACAGAAAAGTCGTCTTCACAAGAAACGACGTCGACAAAACACTAGCCGTTGGAATGTCGCGAAACTTGGATATGTTGTAGCTCTTGATCTCAGCTACCGTTCCCAATTTGAATCACGTTGATTGATGAAGTATTCGCGACGCTATGGCTTTCGACGCACTAGGGGGTAAGCTGTAGGAGGAGAACTTAACTCAATCTCAAGAGTTCAATCAAAGTTCAAGAATCTCACAAGGAATTAGAAGGAGCAAGAGAAAGGTTGGGATAGGAAGAGAGGGATGAGAGGGAAGGTCCCAAGAGAGTCCCCAACCAAGGAAACCCCATAAGCACAAAGATTCCCTCCCTATAGGAACCCCAACTTTGACATTTGTCCCTTCCCAACCAATCCATCCAAGTTGGCCACCCTTGCCAACCTAGCTTGGTTGTTCCCAACCAATTTGCAGCTGTTACAGTAGAGTGACAAGTTTCCCCAACCCCAAAGGTCCCAACTCCATATAAAGTCACCCCACAACTTCACTTAGTAACCGCCGCAATTGTAACGCAAGCTCATGAACTTTGAATCTTCATAGCTTTCGCGTTCTTGCTCCGATTGAAGCGATTCTTGTTGCGTCGGAAAGATCTTCTCAAGATCTATTATCACAAATACCTGCTCAGACAGAATAACACAAAACACATTCCCAAACTCCAGAACACACCACACACAAATGCTTGCACATTCAAACCACACATGCAAGTTGAAAAAACATGGGATGGGAGGCAGACAGAATGTGATAGCATATGATGACATCACACAACACATGGATTTGCACAGTACTAAACGTTGGCCTACAGCATACGTGATGCCCTATGTGACCCAGCAATTCTGCCCCATACTTATATAAGCATGCCTTCATGCACATGCCCTGCCACTGGCCACCTTCTAGCCACTGAAACCCCCTCAAGCTGGCCGGGACCCAGTGCTGTGCATTACAGTCTGATGAGCTGGCTGAGGTGCGACAGTGCATCGGGCACGGACCCGCTGAACCCGTTCTGTGCCAGGTACCTGCAGAGCAGGCGGGGCAGGGCATGGCAGGGGGGTGAAAGGGCGATGCAACGCAACAGGTAGAAGCGTGGCTGCGTGCGCAGATGGGAGAGCACGGAGGCTGGCACGGAATGACATGAGAAGGGGTGAGCATCGAGAAGCCATGGGCTGTGTGTGGGGACAGTGCAAGGGTGCCACTGACAGGTACCAGGTACGTGGCAGTGATTAGCGACAGGTAGCTGGCAGAGGTGGTACTGACAGGTATGTGAGGCCTGTGAGCTTGCTGATGTCGTCTGGTATGGAGCCACTGAGATGATTCACACTCAACTTGCTGCATGCATGGCACCAACACAAGTGGATGGGGATGGATGGGGATGCGCAGAAAGGCAAACGAGTGAGCAGGGATGGGAAAGCATCAAAAGCCGGATTGGGTGAGAAAGAGGGAGCTGCAGGAAGAAAAAAGATACGGCTAAGTATTGGGGCGGGGGTGGGGATAGGGATGGGAAAATATAGATAGCAAGAAGAGGGAGGGAGGCATTGGAAGTTAGATAGTGACAAGGTTTACAGCTGCAGCTGGAGCAGCAGGAGGCAGTGCTGACTGATGCAGCTGTTTGGTGAGGGCAACAACGTTGCACCTAGGCACGAGCAACGGGTCGGGTCGGGTCGGGTAACCCGACCCGAACCCGACTTTTTGACGGGTCGGGTCGACATTTGCGGAAGGTTGACCAGACCCTCGGGTACCCGACCCGACCCGACCCGACCCGAAATCGGGTTAGGTAGAACCCGACCTATTAAACACGGGTCGGGTTGACATTTCCTGAACTCCGACCCGACTTGACCCGACCCGACCCGACCCGAACCCGACATCGGGTAGGGCAAAGTCGGGTCGGGTCGGGTCGGGTCGGGTTCATGCTCAAGCCTAGTTGCACCTGTGCGGCGGGACGCATCTAGCTCCTTTGCTCGCCTTCACTTCAGCATGTCTTCATCCCTTGGCCTGACCCGGCGCTAGTGGCACTGCAAGCACACCCTCACACCTGTCGCAAGCTCACACATGGCACCCATTCCACACATCGTCCCAACCCAACCGCCCTCATCACAGCTATATCACCCCTCCCATTTAGCACTCTCATCAGCCCCTACCCAACCACCCACACCCAGCCGTCAGCCCTAGCCAGCCTGCACACGTTGCCCCCAGCCCCTGCAAGCCCATCCCAGCCCCTGCAAGCCCATCCCAGCCCCTGCAATCCCATCCCAGCCCCTGCAATCCCATCCCAGCCCCTGCAATCCCATCCCAGCCCCTGCAAGGCCGCCCTGAAAGCACCGGGCCCCAGCACGCACATGCCACTGAGCAGCGGCAGGTTGAAGAGCGCTGCAGGCAGCGACCCCACCAGATGGCTGGACGTGATGGCCCTGATGCTCGAGGGGGCAGGACGGGGGGAGGGGGGAGAGGAGAGGAGAGAGGGAAGGGGGAGGCAGGGGGAGGAGAAGGGATGGGGGGAGGGGGAAAGGAGGGAGGGGGTATGGGGGAGGCAGGGGGAAAGGAGGGAGGGGGTATGGGGGAGGCAGGGGGGAAGGAGGGAGGGGGTTTGGGGGAGGCAGGGGGATGGGGCGGAAAAGGGGGGGGGCGGAGGGAGGAGGGAGATGGGGCGGGGGGAGAGGGGAGGGAAGGGGAATGGTGGAGCAGTTGCATGGCACTGGCAGGAGAGTACACTCAAGGAATGCGAGGCAATGATGACAAGGGAGCGGACGGGTGCAATATGAGCGCGTGGCGAGATACCAAAGAAAGGTTAGAAAAGCGTCATAAGGTCAGAAGGGCTCAATACTTCGCACCCATTACGACTCACAGGTATGTGAGATGCTGCAGGCCACTGACGGCGTCGGGGATGGGCTTGTAGAACGCGTTGCCTGCCGTTGCACTGAAGGGGGACGGGCCGGGTTTGATGGGGGAGGGAGCAAGTCCCGTGCTCCAAGTGTGTGAATGGTGCAATGCACGCGGGGTGTGAGGGGTGTCCGATGGTATGCATGGCATGGCATGCCGCATGGGACATTGGGACATGCTGAAACCCGCATGCTGTGACACTGGAAGTGGCTGAACGTGTAAGCGACATAGCACGTGCAGGGAGCATGAGGCATGCACGCAAGGCGCGGGGGTGGTGCTGACAGGGAGATGACGTAGCCATCGGCGTCGCAGGTGACGCCCTGCACAGTGGAGCAGTCGCTGTTGGCCGACCACGTCTTGCCGTCCGCGAAGCTGCCCCATGCCGCCAGCACTTGCGACAGCACCTTGACTGCGGTGGGGGGGGAGAGGAGAGGGAGATGCGGGAGCATGGGTGAAAGTGAGAGGCAGTTAGGACCCGTGGGACGGGGGTAGGAGTGGGGGGAGTGGAACAAGGGGAGGCAGGAGGACTGGTCAGATGGGGAGAGGGGAAGCGGGGCTGGGAAGGGAGGAAGCGAAGAAGGACCAGGGTGAATTCAGCAGGCAAGAGTGCCTAAAAAGAACGTGGTGAGAGAGTCACCATTTACAGCACTCCCTGCATGGTGCCGTCTCAGCGTCCCATCAACCCCCTGGGCGCACTCACAATCTGCCGTCTGTATTCGCCGCGCCGTCACCAGCATGCCAGGTTGCCCGAAACAGGTGAGCAGAAGCAGTAGCAGCTGAAGCACGAGATGGTTCTGAGGGGAGGGGGGGCCGGGAGGGGAAGGAAAACACAGAAAGAGGGGAGGGGGAGACAGAAGGGAGCAGAGGGACAGGGGCAAGGAGCCGGAGCGTGTGCAAGGATGTCTGCAGGGGACTGACCTGGTTGATGAGAGACATTGTGTCGTGCACACAATGCGTGTGTCATGCGCGCAATGCGTGTGTCGTGCGCGCAATGCGTGTGTTGTGCGCGCTATGCGTGTGTCGTGCGCACTATGCGTGTGTTGTGCGCGCTATGCGTGTGTCGTGCGCGCTCTATGCGTGTGTTGTGTGCGCTCTATGCATGTGTCGTGTGCACTATGCATGTGTCGTGTGCGCTCTATGCATGTGTCGTGTGCACTACGAGTGTGCCGTGCGCAGTATGTGTGTGTCATGCGCTCTATGCATGTGTCGTGTGCATTATGCGTGTGCCGCGCGCAGTATGCGTGTGTCGTGTGCGCACTGTGCATGTGTCGTGCGCACTATGCGTGCGGAGATACGACACGGAGAGACAGGGCGGACGAGGGGAGATATGACGCGCGGAGATGGGACACGCGGAGATGAGATGCGCGGAGATAGGACGCGGGGAGATAGGGCGCGCGAAGATGGGGCGCGCGGAGATGGGACGCGCGGAGCGCGCGGGGATAGGATGCGCGGAGATAGGACGCGCGGAGGTAGGCCGCGCGGAGGTAGGCCGCGCGGAGGCATTCACTGGGGATAGGACGCGAAGATAGGACGCGGAGATAGGACGCGGAGATAGGACGCGGAGATAGGACGCGGAGATACCCGCGGAGGTCAGGGAGCTGCGGGGATAGGACGCGCGGAAAAAGAGATAGGATGCCCCTCGCCGCCGATACTACCAGCGGCAGGTGCGAAACGAAAGCGTCGTGCCGCTGAAACGCTGTCGCAGCTGCCGAGCCCCACAACGCGTGCGGTCCTCCCACAGGCGTGCGCACGCGGGAGTACTAGAAGGAACCTCCCATATGGCCTCGCTGACCACGTGGGTCACTGAGGCGCACGCCATGACTCCCAGCGGCCCCGCGGGGGTCCTCCCACTGCACCGGATGATACCACGGCGGCGCCGTCGGCACAGGTGAATGCTGCTACAAGTGCAGGCGCATGGATGCAAGCGGCGCAAGTGGGACTCACCTTCATACGGCGCACTGAGAAGCCAGTCGCACATCGATTATCGCGCAACGGTGGGTGGTGGAGCAGAGGATAGCTGAGGAACTACTGGAACTGGATGGTGAACGGCTGGAGACAAAGCAGCTAGTGCATGGAGTTTGGGATACACCTTTTCTCCTGTATTGTCTCATTCAGAACTGTCCAGATTACCATCCCACCTATCAGGTTCTCAGCATGACTCGTTTTGACACTGAGCCTGATTGGCTGTAAACCGAACGATAGCTAACAGCCAAGTCGTATTTCGACAATTGCGACTTTCAGAGCTGGGAAGTCGCGCGGGCAACTAATCTAGAGTATGAGCGAGATTTTGTGACCAAGTGTCAGTGCTTCTGTGGGTTTTCCCCTTCAAGGTCCAAATTGCCCGTGTTTTATCATCTCTCGCTTACACGCTTAAACAACATGCAAACAACGTCAAAACAATAGGAAAAAGGGTGTAGTAGTGTCTGAGAGGCAGCACAGCTTCCAGCGTCCAGCGTGCTCAGGCTGTATCCCGAACATATTTTCCGCTAAATACCCTTAACCGTACCATGAAGTTTGTTTCTCGCTCTAGCATACGGAGAACCTCATTCAACCACAAACAGACGTGTGTTAGGGACGCGCCCTCAGCCACCGACCTCCATACCATTGAGAATTCTGCCATGCTCACGTTCACTTTGCCTCGCTGGCATGCCTCGTGACTGTGGTTGACTCCAGCATGGACATGATCCATGGGAAGATATTTTCTGACATATTCACCAGGCCTAACATTTTGCCTAACTATTATTAGAAAAGGGACTAAGATTATTTGCTATAAGGAAATATATTTTTCATTAGCTTCGTAAAGCGTGCACGATTATAAGTGGATTGCTACGTGTTTTTACCACGTATGAACGAGCCAAGCCAAGTCCCAAATCTGCCTCAGATAGTCCTCTGCATGCCTAGCTATTTTCCAGCACTAGGCCTGTACTTATCATGCCATTGCGTACTCTCCTCTCCAATAACGTCGATACATACCCATTTCTCGCTATTTACGCCTCATAACACATGGTATTCAGATCTAAGAACCTTGCGGCCTAGAGTTCGTCCCGCTACTATATGTCTTTAAGGGAGGGTGAACCCCTTGCTTTATTGCCTATCCACTCTCTTGGTATTTAATTCACTCAGCACATGCAGTCACGAATGAGTCTGCAATAACACCTACGCCAACGTCGCCTAAACAAGGCCATAATGCACTCTTCAAGCACATCTTTAGGGAATGGGGAATGACGTATGAAGTGACCCAATATAGTCCGTCGGACTTCATGATTAATCAGCAGGAGTGCGCTTTGCGAAAGCGATTGATTGGTTGACGAACTCTATCAGAGTGAATATAATTTAACATAATTGATTATAGCAAAGAGATACACGGTTCATTTAGTGATATAAGAGAATGCGAAGGGTCTAGTAAGATGCACTTAACAGGGGTACATTCCCTTGAGGTTCCAGATTCGACTCAGGTAACTGAACTCGACTCGGGTAATCGTCCGCGCCATGTTACAGGGTCAGTTATGTGTCCTTGCTATCATCACGGGCCCTTGAACTGCTGTCTGTTCGATTGTCAACGACCGTTGCACTTCGTGCTTCGCGTCATAAGCTTGAGCTCGACAAGTGTCCGTCGTAGGAATTCTTGTAGTTGTAGGTCCTTACGGCCAGGGTGAAGTCGCCTTGGCTTAGTTGTGGTGGCGACACGTGAGGACGTCAATCCGCTCGCCGTGTAGGAGCCGATGTTCTCATCATAATGAAGACTTGGCGGTGGGTTGGTTGACCATGGGTGTTTGGCTCAGTCGGACGAGGGTCCGAGGATGCAGCAGGGCGCGGGAGTGGTTGCTTGTCTGTTTGGGACGGGCGGCTGGTCTGGTGCAGGGCCTGCGGGGAAGATTTGATGGGCCTCCTCTGATGAAAGTACGCCCATTGATTTCCACTTGAGGTAGGCGTGTTATATGGCCTTGCGCTGCTTCCCGCATGGCTTTGGCAACGCTCCGTAGATTGTCCGAAGGGTTTTCAAAGTTTGCAAAAATAACGGCGATTGCACGTATTACGGCGAGGCTCCTTCTGGTCCGAATATAACGCTAGCCTTTCTTTGCGCGGAGCTCTCTCTTTGTAGATGTCCATGTCCTGCTGCTCAGGCAGCAGCGTCGAGCAATGAGTCGCTTCGGAGAGTTTGCCCTATTGGCGTAGTAATGCCCCGATGCCCATTCAGGGGTAAGTCCAGCGAGCAGGATTATCATAAGCATGTCTTCAAGGATCGTGTTCCCGAGTTTGATGATCGGTCGCGGATGCTTCAGCAGCAGTTAATGTAATTCTTGGCCTTCTCTCCATAAACCAAGCATACATCTAGTAGCTGGCCGGGTAGTCGACTCGACGACACGGAGTCCTTCGGGTGATAGAAATTTGTCAGGGGTAGCGAGGAGTCTCGTGCCGAAGCAGCACGTGTCTTGAACGATCGAACTCTGAGTTGCTCAGAAGCAAATAGATTCCATAGGAGGACGTTGTATGCCGTGAGCGATTCGTTGTTTTGCGTCTTCGGTATCGGTCATTGATCCAGGGTAAGAGCCGTTGAAATGGCAGAGGATTTGTGTGCTCTGCTAGAGAAGCTCGAACTCGAAACTCCAAGTGTAGAAATTGCGACCGTCGAAGATGGAGCTTGTTCTAATATTCGAGACAGCGAAGAATTTTGATTGTGGTGTCTGCGCGGCTTTGCCACTTAACCGTGTGCTTGTACTGTAGATGGTTGCGTATTGGAAGCGTCGAAGTTGAAGAAGAATGGAGTGGAGTCCTTGTATACATAAGTTGGTTGCGTTTCAGTGGTTTGGCGAGCAGTTCTCGAGCCGTCGATCTTGAAAGACGTTAAGTCCATCCCAAATAGTTGTCATTCGTTGGAGCAATTTTTCGAGGAGTCCTGTGGGGACGGATGTCGTTGCCGCCAGATTCAGAGTGTTTGCAGGTACTTCTGGAGGAGAGCTTCTAAGCCCTCGTGATCTCGAGCCTTGAGCCATTCTGTGGCGGGAGCGAGTTACTGGTGCCACGATATTTTAACTTAGAGTTGATGAATGGCGTCGTGCGTAGAATCCCGATGGGCTCTGTTTACCATGAAGCGATCCAACAGAGTACGTAGGATCTTCAGGACTGAACTGCAGGAATGCGCTCTACGGAAGCGATTGATTGGTCGATGGACTCTATCCGAGTGAATATAACATAACATAATTGATTATAGCAAAATGTGGGGTTACTATAGTGATACAAGAGAATGCGAAGGGTCTAACCAAGATGCAATTAATAGAGGGTACATTCCCTCGGGTAACTGCACACAACTCGGGTTAGTTATGTGTCCTTGCTGTCGTGACAGACTCTTGAACTTCTGTCTTTTCGACTGTCGGTCAACGGTCAATGACCTTTGCATTTCGTGCTTCGCATAATAAACTCGAACTCGACAAGGGTTACAACTCGATTGTCACTTTCAGGAATGCAAGCAATTCCGTATCGTAACAATGTACTGTACAAAAGGAGCTCTGAATATCTGTCATCATCATCTTGTTTGAGCTTGATTTTTTTTTCTCTCTTTTTCGAATCAATGCAATATATAAGATATACAGTATAAATAGAGCCTTCTATCATAACTGCATCTTAGGGGCCCAGACTTGGAAGCCACCCCCTTCCGAACCAGCTATGGTGGCTTGATGAAGGTATGGGGGTGTGTCCAAATTGACTGAAATCCTACGTTCCACCTCATCCCCTTTGCACAGCTGATGGTCACCTTTGGCCATGAAGATATGAACAGCTCCAGCGTTCCTTTCATGAACACCCCTCTCATGGTCGCCTCGTTTTTTCCAGCAATTTTTTGTCGTCGATGTCGGATGTCGAACGATTGGTCACTCCGAAGAATTTAGTGGCTTGCGATGTCCCATTCCCATTCACGCTGAAACTCGAACTCGCTAGGAAGGATTTCGTTTCGCATCGGTCGATCTAAAGCGTCGAATCTCCATTGGACGGATGTCGTTGCTCGCAGCTCCACACATGTCGGCACAACTCCAAGAGTCGTGGCAAACTGCTAACTTCTTTGAATGTCGCAGGGAATGTTCCGCCAGAATTGCCACGCTTGCGCGGTTGAGGCCATTTGCCCCCGCAAAAAACTTGGCTCCGTCGATGCAGTCCATCGAACGGTCAGCGAGGCATCTCGCCTTCGTAGGGGACCCCTAGTGCAACTGCGAGAGGTAAGTCAAAACTTAAAATGAAATTGCGTACTTACAGAATTTGACATTTCGACTCCATCCTCGGTGTGCTCCTGGGGGCCCAGTGGTTAAGAATTGAGCTGAAACCTTTGGCTCTGATCACCAAGTGTTACAGGATCGAAAAGGTTTGCTCGATGTTGCTACTATCAATCAGTAAAAGGTGCTCTTATACTTCTTGAGTACATCAAGTAACCTGGTTTATCACATCCAAAGGGAATAGGCCCTTCTATAAATAGTACCCCACTGCGTATAGCCACGCGAAATTATTCGCATGAAGGGATTACGGCAGGATTACACTAGATATAGCGCGCCAGTACATCTTGAGCCTGGTCGGTGATATGATTATAATGACATGCTAAACCAAAGGACAATGGAAAATGAGGAATAGGGAACCAAATGAGATGAGATAGAGACCAAATGAACCAAGATAAAAAGAGGAATGAAATAGAAAGGAAATATGGAAATGGGAAATTGGTGTAACAGGATCGTACTCTCACAAGGGCATCCGATTCGTCCTCAGGGGATACGAGCATGGAGGAGATGTGGGGTACAGCGGCAGCAAGGTAGACCAGCTGACATTGTCTGTCCTCTAGCACGTCAATGCCAACGACAGGTGCACCCCTGACAGACGGAGGACTGGCAGTATCAGAGGACAGAGTGGCAGCGTAGTCAAGGCGGTGACTAGCAGCGAAATTAGTGACACGCGCAGAGACAGTCTCAGGAGTCGTAAGGGTTAGTAAAAAGCGACGCAAGTAAGCAGGAGAGGACTAGACCAGATGTGGGAGTAGAGTCTGTGGGAGGAGCAGAGGATGACGG